GATGCCTGGCCCGAGCTGAGCAGCCACTGAGCTGCCAACAGGTGGCAGGATGGCTCAGCTTAAAAAAAAAAAAAGAATTACCATGCGATGCAATAACCCCTCTTCTAAGTACGTATCTCAAAGAATTGAAAGCAGTATCTTGAACCGATGCTCATAAACCCATGTCCATAGCATTATTTACAATAGCCCAAAGCGGAGGCAACCCAAATGTTCATCCACAGATGAGTGAATGAACAAAATGTGATACATACATACAATGAAATATGATTCAGTCTTAAAAAGGAAGGGAATTCTGACATACTACACCATGGATGAACCCTGAAGGCATTATGCTAAGTGATATAATAAACCAGTCACAAAAGGGGAGAGTAAATACTGTATGAGTCCACTTATATGAGGTTTCTAAGTAGTCAAGGTCACGGAAACAAAGTAGAACGTTGGTTGTCAGAGCTGGGAGGAAAGGAAATAGGGAGTGGTTGCTTAATGGGTATAGAGTTTCAGTTTTGCAAGACGAAAAAGCTCTGGAGACCTGATTGCACAACAATGAGTATAAATACAACACTATGCAACTGTACACTTCAAAATAATGAAGAGGGTACATTTTATGAGTTACCACAATTTTTTAAAAACTTCAGGACGAAGGCTTGCCGCTTGCATAAGCAGTTAAGTCACATGATACAGAAAGTGAAAAACTGATCACTTCCAGACAGTGCCTTGATAGGAAATCTCAAGTGCAATTTATTTCTGACATAGAACATTGATGTAACATGTTCAAGTTGATTTGCATTTAAATTCCTGCTCAGCACAGAATCAGGCTTTTTCATTCTTGCTGCTACTTCAATAGTATGAGTATTTTTCTTTCCTGTTACTGGCTGTGATTCATCGCCAGCCCGTGTTCTGCATCTGTTAGGTTGGCGGCTGAGTAATCAAATTTCTCTACATAAGAAAAACCCCTGAATCTCTTAAAAACTACCTTTGGTGCTTCTTGCCTGGGATGAAGTTAACTTAGTGTATTTATATGTGTCTCTGTGTGTGTGTGTGTGTGTGTGCGTATGTAGTCATTGAAATCAAGTTTTTGACTTTTACTTCTTAGAAATATGATTTACCTGAAGGCAGCTTTTATCAGAAGGTAAGAGTTCTAGGAAGGCAGGATGCTTCAAATGAGACAGAGGACTTCAGAGGAGCTGCCTTTTACCAGCCATGGGCTTTAGGTGAGTTACTCTGTTTTTGAGCTCGGCTCTTCATCTGTCAAGTGAAGAGGACACTACCTGTCCCTCAGATTACTATGAAGAATACATAAAATGAATGCAATGCCTGGGTCAGTGCTAGGGCCATTATAGACACTGAAGCTGTGAATTCCTTTCTTGCTTCCTCCTCCCTTGCTGCGGGGTGGAGGACAAGGAAGAGGAGCCTGAAAACTCCAGTGTGGCTGACTATATGATGATGTGCATGCCCAGCCAGATGATTCCATCTGCAAGATGGCACCTGTAAGACTCCGTTGGCACCCAACATCATGGCAGTTACTCAGGGTTTCAATAAGTAGGGTTAAGCTAAGCTTTTTGGTTTCTGGTTAGGTTTGTGGAGGAGGAGTGTTAGGTAAATCATGTCTTTTTGAAGTTCTAAGAAGTCACTTGAGATAAAAGAAAAAACAAAAAAAGGGGCGGGGGGGGTGAAGTTGCGGGGGAAGTCTCAGAAGAAAGACATTGGAGGAGGGAGCTTATCAAAGCCACATTTCCTGGAAGCTGAGCTCACTAGCACAACCCAGGACCGAATAGTAATGTGGGCAGACTCCCTCAGGCCTGAGGTTGCCATGGGTCCTCACAGAGCTCTCTGCCCCTAAGGACATCCATATCCATTTGCTAACTTCTCCCTGATGGATGGATTGCTTGTCATATCCTGGAGACAGCTCTGTGGTTTAGGGTACAGGCTCTAGAACTGGACTGGAATCCTACACCTGCCACTTACTAGCAAGGAAGCAACCACAACTTTGGGAGGACAGTCTGATCGGTACAGCAGTGTCCTCGCCTCTGGTCATCTCAAAGCCATAAACACCACCAGGCCCTCTGGCTGCAGGCTCCCAGGCCAACTTGAAATTTTAGGAAGCTGCTGTCCTGCACCAGGAGAAGTTACATCACAAAGGGAAGAAAAAAAAAAAGAAAAATGTTATATGAGGTCATACAAACTTTAGGAAAAGTCCCAAGAGGAGACGGATCTCTCTCCTCCACCAATCCTGTTTTTCTCTTCTAAAAGTTCAATTTGGTTCTTTTCAGAATCTGTCTACTCTTTTCCTATCATACCCTGTTTTGTTATTATAGTATCTTTTTCTCCTTTTTCATAAAACCCAACCCTACATGGACAGATCTATGGACCTGTCCATGTAGGGTTGGGTTTTATGAAAAATGTCATTTAAGGGTGACATTTCAAACCAGTGTAGAAAAGATGAATTTTCCCCTTTATGGTGTATCTTAACAAATACACTTCCGTGTGTACAAGGACAACTGTGTAGCCATCTGAAAAAAGATTATTGGATTCCTATTATACAACTTAAACCAAAATCAATTCCAGATAAACCAAAGATTTAAAAGTAAAAACTGAAACCCTCGTGCTAGAAGAAAAGATAGAATTTTAAATATTCTCTGAGTGGAGAAGAACTTTCAAAGTCATATATAGAAGCCATGAAAGAAAGGACTGATAATTTACATAAACTAAAAAATGTCTACATGTACAAAAGAAAATAAAGTCAAAACACAGGAGCACTGGGTGTGGAACCAGTAGACCTGGAAAGTCAAGACCTCAGTTCAGCTGAGCCAGCCCCTGGGCCCGTTTTCTTCTCTGGAATGGAGAGGCGTCTCCCTCACCAGTTGTTTTCGTTTTTGTTTTTAAATTAAATTTACAAAAGCTCTCTCGCAAGTTTGACGTGAAGATCCGATGAGAATGGATGCAAAGCACTTTGCCGTCTCTCCTGAGTTGCATACCTTTGTGGAGTGTTACTATGCAGGTGACTGCCAGGTGAGTCCTGTAGCCTGGGATGGGATAGGAGTGGGCCAAGCAGCAATCATTACATCTGTGGTCAGGAGCCTCTTCTATGTAAGGCTTTAGGGAAAGTGTCCCTTATTCTCTAGGAGAGGAGCCCTTCTTGAAGGCTGCCTGGTCTGGCCATCAGTGAGGCATTTTCCCTAGGGTGAACCTCCCCGTAAGGCAGCATAGGCCAAGGCACGATTTGGGGGTCTCCCCCAAGGCACTCCCCTCCAAATAGCCTCTTCCCACCACCCACTTCCAGTGTTCCCAAGTCCACCTTAGAGAGCCATACTTTGGGTAGAAATAACTAAGAAAATACAACCAATCCTAGGAGAAGTAATACAGTAAGTCTTGTGGGTTATTTACATTTTGTGGAAGATGTTTTGGCCAAGAGCAGCGGAGCACGTGTCACTGTGTGTGGAAAGTATGCTGGTCTGGA